TGGAGTGGAGTGGAGTGGAGTGGAGTGGAGTGGAGTGGAGTGGAGTGGAGTGGAGTGGAGTGAGTGAGGTGAGGTGAGGTGAGGTGAGGTGAGGTGAGGTGAGGTGAGGTGAGGTGAGGTGAGGTGAGGTGAGGTGAGGTGAGTGAGTGGGTGGGTGAGTGGGTGAGTGGGTGAGTGGGTGAGCGAGTGAGCGAGTGAGTGTGAGAGTGAGAAAGAGAGTGAGAGGGAGAGGGAGAGGGAGAGTGGGGGAGTGAGTGAGTGTGAGAGTGAGAAAGAGAGTGACCGAAAGAGGTTCACAAAGTACTGCGCCTGCCACGAAATCTGCTCTTCGAGGTTCACCAAGTGCTGCGCCAGCTCCGAAGTCTGCACTTCGAGGTTCACCAAGTGCTGTGCCTGCCACGATATCTGCACTCGAGCCACATGCCCAAAAGTCACAATTGCACTGCACCTGTCACGAAATCTGAGCTCCTCGACGATCACCACCATGTCCAAAGTGCTGCGCCTGCCGCGAAAACTGCACTTCGAAGTAAAACAGCTCCGATCCCTTGCGTCTGTCATGAAAAGTCGACTTTGGAGCACCAAAACACGAGGTTTCCCCTGCGCCTGCCACGAAAAGTGACCACCGTGTGCGAAAATGCGCACGGCACCACAACGAGAGCGCAGTCGTTAGAAGCACCCGCTGCAGACACCCAGATTCAGCGAGCCTGCGCAGTCGAAATGCACTTCGATGATTTTGAGAGGCATGAATGTACTGTAAATAGCAGCGAATTAGCCGGACACCCCCGCCCGCTTCAGCGATCTAAGCAACAGCTGCTTTTCTACTACCGTAAGAACCCCTAGTGTGTCCACACTGTTTGGGGAAACAAACTCAACAAAAAAAGTACGCTCAGAACATCAAAGTCACTCCTCAAATGCGGCTGATGGTGGCCCAAATTCTGGGCGATACGATGCCGTCTGTGTGGCCACCACTGAGCAGGTATACGAGCAGGAAGTTTGGATTTGGTGGCCGCCGGTGGCCTGATACTTCGTCTAAGCCTTGGGATCTGAGCTTCTGAACAACATCAAAACTGCAAGACACCGTGCTGAAATCATGTAATTGACCATTGGACTCAAAGCTTGAGCCTTGTCTCCACACAAACATCAACGAGATTCCATCTTAAGAAGTCTTTGCGAATTCGTCATCTGAGACATCGGCCCATTCAAAAGAGCCGCCATCTGAGGGAGTCCCGACATCTCCCCGTTCCCCCCTTCTGCACAATCGATGGCCTCAAATACCTTGGCCCAGCGGACATGTCTCCGTTCACAGAAGAAGCAGCGCCTGTGAACCTTCCTGTATTTGTGCCAGGACTTCATGCCCGGCCATTTTCAGAGCACTTTGACTCAGAAGATTGTAGTGTTTCTCAATAGATGTGTTTAACTGCCAACTTTGAACTATCTGAGGCTTTCACCACCCTTGTCTGCTGCAAGCTTCTTCAGTAAGCCGTAGGAACCGAACCGCGAACCGCGAACCGAACCGGAAAGGTACCAGCTTCAATGGAACCGACACGAACCGAACCGGACTGAAAAGCAGTTTCTGTCAAACCGAACCGAACCGAACCGTTTATTTTTGCCTCAAGGAACCGTTACGAACCGCAATGCTATCTATCTATATTTGGTTGGAACATTCTGCTTCGATTATTGTGTGTGTTTAGCTTCTGTGTTTGCAAACATTCACAGGCCACCTTTTCAAGCACAGCGTTTCTCGTCAGGTGTCACAACCAAGCTTTCCAAGCGAGGATTTCACAGCTTGAAACCATGACGACAGGAAGGTTTCTTTCTGAAAGTATCTAGATTTTGAGGAATCGATGATCGGAATGTCAATTCATTGCTGTACTCAGGCAACGCACAATAAAACCTGTCTAAAAATGATTTTTGCCAAGTGAAAACCATTTTCAATCATGTATTGAATATTACATTCAGCGGTCCACCAAAAAAGAATTTTGTTGCCTAGAAATCGTTTTTGGGGTCCCAATGTACCTTGCAGCTTTTACAGTTTGCATTCAGAAATCTGTATGATGGGCGAAGCATGGTGCATTCAATCGTATCGGCTTTTTGGGAACCGGGGTCATGGTTTCATTTTGCGGCCAATCTTCCCGTCACCCCAAGTTTTAAATTGGCACGACCAAAACTCAGATTGGCCGCGTTGCGCGGTTGCAAACGGTTTCGACCAGTCCAAACATGATTTCGAAGTGGCAATCGTCCACACTATGCCAAAAACGATTTTGAGAAACCGAAAATCACTTTAGGTCGTTTTTGAATTCACCCAAAAGGAACCCCATGGGTCTCAGTTTATGGAAACTCCGGAGACTGTGCTGTGATCTGCCAAACCCTTTGCTTTAAACGCCGCCTTCTGTTGTATATTAAAAAGAAGGAACCGAACCGAACCGAACCGATTCTCACGAAAACCGAAACGAACCGTTTGTATTTGCGAACCGAACCGCCCATCATTCCAGTTTCAAGGAACCGAAACGAACCGAAACGAACCGGAGGTTTCCTGCTTCTTGAGGATGCCTGATGCTGCAATATGACACAAAGCCTCAACTCAGCGTATGCCTTACTTCTTTGCTTGGGCACTAGGTTACAACTTTGCCCAACTTCTCCAAATAATGTTGTATCATGTTGTACCATGTTCGTTTTCGTGCGATTTCTTTGCGGCTGCAAACGGTTGTCGAGTCAAATCTTGAGACCGATATTCAAACCCTGAGTCTACGGCTCCCTTGCGACGCTGCATGCTGCCGTCTATTCTTCCAGTGGCGCAAAAAACGTATCAAGACATGGAGAGGGTTTACACCTTCAACAGGCCAAGCAGCGTGGTTTACATCAGGTCAAGACAAGTCGTCATTGGAATTTCAGGTCGAAGCCCTCAAACAGCCTCAAACAAAGGTGTGTGTGTGTGTGCACTTCAGCCCTTGTATGAATGTGCGGAATGTGCTTCCCTTGGATTTTGCAGTCGTCTTAATGCATGGAGCATGGGAATTACCTGCGCATGCTAAGCTGCTAGGCCTCATAGGTGTTTGCCTGTGAAACCTGCTCAACGGCTTTCGCGCAACACGGAACTTAGTGAAAAGGGCTCTTTATGAAATTCACACCCTTTCAAGATCTTCAAAGCTATCGTAAGTGCCAAACACTCAGGTAGCAACTGGAGGGGTCTTCAAACCTAACCAGCGACTCTCAGACGGCAAAGAAAACCAGAAAAAGTGCTCCTTTGGGCAAACGAGCAAAAGTGCTTGGCCAAGGCCGCCAAGGCCGCCACGGAAGTTCCCAACCTTCTTGGAATTGATGCCAAGCTGAGAGAAGAGTTCCTTCGACCAAGCTGGTAGGAAGGAAGGAGCTGAAGCAAACAGCACGAGTTCCCTTGGCTTCGAGTTCTGGATGAGTTCACGCTAACAGAGTGGTCCAGTGAGAATGCTGCGAAGTTAAGATTCATGGTTTTTCCCGAGCTGTGGGGAAGGAGGTGAGTTCTTTAGAGACGGGGGAATTATAATGAAAGAGAAGTCTTCCTGGTTCAGGTTTATCCTAGAATTGATATATATATATATAAGGAAATATCTAGTTTTGGAGGTGAAACCCATGGTTCCTGTAGATTCCCCTTAAACCAATTCTGTCAGTTAAGTTTGAGTTCGAGTTCTGCACACTGTATGGGCCCCCCATTTTCTAGCACAGAAACGGGGGGACATGGAATGGAGCACTAAAGAATGGGTAGACATCCAGCTAGAAAATGATGGGCTACAGATTCAAAAAAAAACTTATGAAAATTGCCACTAGAAAATGCCTGACATAACCTCCGTCATAAAATCGGACAATGTACCTTGAGGGTCAGGTCGTTCATTTACTAGTAGTGGGCTCATGGGATTCAAGGAAAACTGTTACTTGGAGGTTGGGGCCATCAGATTTCCAGTAAATCTAGGTGGGGTCGGGTCCACCCATTCTCCAGTGAATGAGCGAACAAAAGCTTCTCAGTAGAGTGTTCTCATCGTATCTCATCCACTAGAAAATGCTGGGGGGATTTGAGCCACAAATAGTCTTCGTTTTCATGCGCCATCATCTCACTAGAAAATGGCAACTGTGGCGATCTAGCTTATCAATGTATCTTACTAAAAATTGCCATGCATAACCCCCCCTTTTCCTAGAAGATCAATGACTAAATCAATGTAAAAAACAGTTTAGAGAAAATGAGTGGAAAAAGACGGATTAGGTTACTAGAACAAAAAAAACTATCTTCTAGTGGCCTTGAGGCCACCCATTTTCTAGAGAAATTGCACACAGGGATATGGAAACTAAAAAACTCAACTCAGCTGCAAAACCGAAAGAGACAACCGCTGAGTAAGACACCTGGCGCTTGGAAGCAGGCCTCTCGAGCAAAATGAGAACCAGAAAATGAGACGGTGCAGCTTTTTATGCTGTGCACAGCTCAAGAGTTCCAACTTTCGCTTGAAAGAAGTTGCAAAAAAGGACTGCCGTTTTCTCAACTCGATCGGGCATGGCGTAATTCGGCAATCCAAGGGGCCGTTGAGGCAATGCAGCTACACTGCAGCCCCTTCAACCCTCAGTGCAGAAGATCCTGGAAATCCTGGTGGGTCTCATCTTTGTGATCTGCGAAGTGCGCGAAATAGATCATGGCGACTGCCGAGAGTGTATTCACGATCAACACCAGAAGGAGGCAACATGCTGTAACGGGCCCCGGAGCACAACGGAGACTGGGCCAGCATGTCTTGAGATCTTTGCCCAAGACATGCGGAAAATGCTTGTGGAAGACATGCTCCCAAAGCTTTCGCTTGTAGTTCCACTGTTCTTCCTGCAATGTCTTAGGAAGTCGATTACTTGAAGTTGCCCAGTTTTCAAGCCAGATTCCTGATGCCTGCGCAAAAAGGCTCTTTCGAATGATCAAGAGCTTGTACCATCGCCGGAGTTGCCAAAAGAACGAAGCGACTTTCACAGCAACCTGAAGAAGCAAGACGTAGGATAAATCAAACCTTGGTGTTACTGAGAGGATAATCAGCTGCATCAGCAGCTCAAAGCCACTCTTCAGGAACAGGAGGGGCATCATGCACTCGAGACCTTCATGATCGTCTGCCTCGAAGTGTGCTTCCGAAAGGAAAGTCGCATAGAAGAGGCGACTTCCAAACAGTTTGGCTGCTCCTTTCCCTGGGCAATTGCCACGTGGATGGATCCTGGGGATTATGTCAACCAGGGTCCTGGGCTTGAGGACCAAGTATGAGAGCATCAGCCAGAAAGTCGTCTCAATCCACGTCCAACTGTTTTTCACAGCACCGACCTCATTCTTCTTGTACGGCTTGTTCAAGTCACTTTCGTCGATTTGTCTGTTCATCTGTGCATCAGCCAGCACCAAGGCAAATACGAAGCTCGTCAAGTTCACTGCAATGAAGCAGGCAGTAAAAATATAAAAGATCAAAGTGGGCCTGTCCGACCTTGCAACCTCGAGGATGAAGTTGACCGAACTAAACAATTCGGTGCTATACATCGCTGTTGAAGCATCCGCCTTCATCAAGTGGAGGACATGATTTCGATATGCAAAAACCCGCGTGTACATCCAGTCGCTTCCAGCGTCTTGCGACTTGTCTGCTTCATCTGAGTGGTGTGTACATGCACACAGTGGCAAATCTTCATCTGATTCACAATCTCTCTCACTGCAGATTTCAGAATGGTTGGGGTCCATAACGTCTCCAGTGCCACAGTTGATGTCTTTTCCTTTAAAATCCAAAAGAGGCCAGGGCCGGCCTGGTGTGGGCTGCTCCAAAAGACTTCGTTCTGCGTACTTCTGCAACCAATTTGGCAAATCTCGTTTCTTTCCACTGTGGTCGAAAAACTGAGTTCGGTACACTTCGACCACTGGTGCTTCTAGAGGGTCACCCTCGAGGTTTGCATACTGTGCATTCGGGACGTTGACTTTCTCCTGTCCTTTTCGCACTTGTTCCAAAGCCGCATCTCTTCTTCCTCTTCGCCGTTCTTCATTGTCCTCATCGTCCTTGCGCTCAATCCTAACTGCCTGTTCTAGCGCCATGGCTCAACTGCTCTGGTCTCTGCAATCAGGACCGGGAGCGACTTATATCCAGGCAGCCATCCCGGAAAGTTTCAGACGCGGACTTACGGAGACTACACTCTTGAGAGGAACAAATGACAAACAGTTGGATGTGGTCGATCTGGCAGAACTGTTTTAAGATTTATGGACTCTGGAGGAAAACAACAGAACAGGCAACTGTCGGCAACTGTGTGTACCCCTCATGCAACCTCTGCGTCGCGTTTACGTGATCAAAACGAACGACTGGAAGTGCATGGATCGCCTTCTCCCACATCCTCACCGAGGTCGCCCAAACAAACGAACTCATGCGCAGCACGGTCAACATCTGACATGAGCGTACCGTGGGTCTTGTTGCTGTAGAGAACCTGCCTCATTGGTTGCCATGTTGAAAAGCGACTTCAACTTGCCACTCGAATTAAACAGAAAACGGTCTGACGTGGCAGACCACCTGGCAACTATGGGCTCTACATATATGAAGAAATGTGAAGAGTCTTGATACTTTTTAGACAACCTGCTCAATAGTCGGCTGCTGAGTCACGACTCAAGTGCGGATCTCTCATCGAGATGCCCTAGGCAAAAATGGAACAATGAAAAGATCAGAACACCATTTCAAGAAAACGCATCTCTTAGTAGTCTCTTAGCTCCAGTCCTCTTGGTAAAATCCGGATCTCGTGTTGCTGCATCACCTGGGCAACGGAATCACAAATCGATCAGAAGGCAAGATACGTGGTTGGCATGAAAGCTTGGACCCATGGTATCAACCCCAATCCTCGTTGCATGCACTTGGTCACTACGTGCGCACTGCCCAACTTGCCGAAGAAACAAAGTGACATCATGAGACTCGAGAAGAAGCAATGAGAGATGAATGACATCTGCACATCACATCATCGAGACTTCACTCTTCACGTCAATGAGACGAGATCTGCAAACCAAACTGCTCCGGTCACGTACAAACCAAGTCAAGAGGTCTGAAAGGTCCGGTCCTGCAGACCAACACCAGCTGGAACAAGTCCAGTGCCATCGGTACACCACATTGCCAGATGTCACATCACATTGCAGAAAGACAAAGCTTTGCCGTTTCCAAAGTGATGAAACATTGTTTTTTTGGTCTGTTGTTGTATATCCCATTGCGCACATACGTCCAAATGCGCGGCACATGGCGTACGTTGCATGCGCGGCCCCACATTTGGGGAATCAGTGAGTCTTCACCCCAATGGCGCTAGAATTCAGAAGGGCTCCACTCGTTCTACTCTGGCAAACATCCTAATTAATTACTCACATTGGGATGGCCTTTTGAAAAGCCCCTCCTTCTTCCCGGCTGAGACCAGGCAAACTGATTGTCACCCCAAGGAAACACGCTTGGCGGTGCAGGGATCTATTGGGCTCTCTCTCTCTCTCCCCTCTCTCTCTGTCTGGCGTCGTGGCATAAGCTAGTGCCAAGACATGTGGCAGCTTTGTTCTTGTCTTGGAGTTTCATGCTTGGTCCTTTTGTTTATAGCCAAGCCATGCCAAGCCAATGACGTTGGTTTCTAATATTCTCTCTGCATCTCTCATGACTTGAACAAAGCACAAAATGTAACAGGAGTCGAATCAGGCCAGCAAAACACGTTGAGACTGCTGCGAGAGTTCGCACCAGGATTGCATACCTTGCGCACCAGACCCGCTGCAGCAGCTGGCCTTCTTCCGCACCGGTCGCCCCAAAGACCTTCGTTCGGATTTTGATCCGAGCGACGCAGCACAGTTTGGCCAAGACCCGACTGAAAGGCCATCAGTCCGACCAGTCCGGGTCACAGGCCATGAGCTGGACGGACGAGTATGACGACGCCAACCAGCCTGTTCATCAGACAAGCACTTGCTGATGGCTTTGGTTTTTCAGAAGTTTTGGGAAGCCTTGACTTCCTCGAAAGGAGAAGTCCACCCAGAGGACAAGGACGTTGCTTCCGACAGAATCACGCGAAGACCAGTCCTGGGGGTACTGGCGAGATGGGAATTGGCCAGCCGATGCGGCGTAGAACACGCTTCAATGACATTTCTTGCGCTGCTTCCCGCAAACCCCGATCAATGCTCGAGACACTCTTCTCTCTCTGTAAAACAATAGAAGTCATACCACTGGGAAGCCTGCAATGAGGCTGCAATGCAAGAACATCAGCGCGCCAGCTGAGTTAGCACCTCTCCACAAGTTTTCGAACCTGCTGGCCTGATGCACCAAAATGTTAGGCTCTTTAGGCACGTCTCCTCATTATTGACTCTCTGCATGGACCGCATGGAAGTGTAAACCTGACTTACACGTTACCTGATCGATTCAAAAAGACTCTTGCTGCCTTGCCTGAGCGAGGAACGCACGAAATGTCCAAGGACCTTTGGCAGTGATAGAAAAACCACGAACCTCGGCACCAATGTGGTCTGGCGCTAGAACTGCAGGTCACGAGCAACTAAATTTTAAATCCAACGTTGCATCCAACGTTGCAAAGGCCCACACATCATCATTCTAATACTCCTCGGGTCCTTTGGTTCACAAACACCTCTGTAACTTGAAGGGGGCGAAGAAAACCCAAAATGAATGGGTCCTGGCCGGTGAAGCATCGTGGCTCCTGACTGCAGCGGCCAATTGAAGTAAAAACGATGCACAATGTGGATCCTTTGGTCCTTGGTTCAATGAACACAAAAGAACACAATAAAATACGTGTATGTATATATATATATATGCTACCCCCCCGCACCAATACACACCTTTTGCGATAGATTCCAATTCATTTTGTTAGTAGTATCTATATAATGCAATTTGCAATTGCAAATACAGTAATGATATAATTGATCATGTGAATTTCACAATTGTCAACTCAACTTGTTACATTGGACTTGCAATTCAAAGTATGAATCTCATGGTGCACAAGTGTGAAGACCCCACAAAAAGAAACATACCAATTGACAAGAAATTGTGTACATGACAATGAACAATATTATATATCAACACTCCAATTCATACTGTCAGTTGCACCCAGTGCAAATGCACGCATGATAATTGATGAATACAACTGATTATATGAGTTGTTAGTATTTTGTTACACGGTGACATTACATTTAAACAACTCAAATTTGGAACCTAAAATTGTATATTTGTGACAGTCACAAACATCGGGCTTGCGCAACAGGAACATTGACCTGCATGCTTTATAATTGTGAATATCACAGGGTAACACATAAATTGACAGAACTATTTGCGTGAATGACAATTGATCATATCATATCAATATTCCAGTTTGATATGGTTGTATAAAATGATTTGGTTTGCCCATCGCTCAAGTCAAATCGTCTTCATGGGTCGTGAAGGCATCACTCTTCTCTGAATAGGCCTCAATATCATGTTCTGAAAGTTTTTTTGCTTCATACATTGAAAAGTTATGATATTGAAGTAGCAACCCTTTTTATATCTCTAAGCCCATTGACTAATATATTTCTATTGGTTGTGTTTAAGATGTAATAGGTATTGCATGTGTGTTTCTTCTTTTTTTTCTATTTATTCTTCTTGTATGGCATAAATCCTTCCTCCAAACTCACTCTGGCAACGGCGTGCCTCCCTCAAAGTGTTAAAACAGCATCTCTTCTGCGCGGCGTTGCGTGATTTGTATAGCCAATGGTGATGTTTCCTAGTCTTTTTGTCATCTTTAGTAAGATCGGTTTCCCATAGTTCATTAACAAGCTGGTCACAAATGACCTTATGAATGAATGCATGAAGGAACCTTATAACAAAAGATGTTTCATTGTTTGCTTGCAATAGTTATCTTGAAAGCTTTCCATATATCAAATTATATCTCTTATTGAGTAAACATTTGATGCCTTCACTTCCACTGTATACAATGTAAAACTAGATAATTTGCCAACGTCAATGTATCACTGTAATGTGTCCAACTATTGAAAAACCGGTATGAATTTAATCTGTGCAAATGCCAATGTAAAGACTTTAGTCCTGCAAATCTCCATCAGTTTTGTTGTATCAATGCTTTTATCAAAATATTATGCTGGGACTATAGTCCTACAATGTTTTTATCAAAACAACCTGATGGGACAAAAGTCCTACATTCATCCAAAATTGCATTTGTAAAGAATGTCCTTCCGGACCCCTGGTAGCTGTGAACAAAGGATGCAAATGATGTGGTGTGACGAAAGTCTTCCGAAATCTGCAACATCTTAAGAAATCTTAAGATTTTCCTGGAACCAAGACACCAAGAACCAAGATTGCACAGAAGTCTCGGGCAAACTCTTGGTTCTGGTGAGAAGGTTTTCTTGGAACTGAGAACAAAGATTATCCCCAAGACTTCTGAGCAATCTTGGTTCTTGGTTTCTTGGTTCCAGGGAAATCTTAAGATTTCTTAAGATTTCTGCAGATTATTGAATGATGTTCTTGTTTGCTTGTTCTTCTCACATATAGTCTTCACCTGAGGATATGTGTGTGTAAATATATAAGGATGCACAACACCTAATTTTTTGTCCACTTCGCAGCAAGAATTGTCAAAACAAAAAGAACTCAACAGAAACAACCCTGTCCCTCCTTCAGGTTCACAAACCTTTGATGAAGGTAGACCCACATACCCGGCCACGCCCTGGGTACATGGTATTTCTCAAACAGCGCCCTCAGAAGTGAGCCACACCTCCGAACTAGCTGGGGGTCGCAGACTTAGGACAAGGATTGTTAAAGAAAGAATTGCAATTCTCCATTTGCCTCCTCTTGTTTCAGCTCTTCATGGCCTTTCTTCCAGGAGCCAGGAGCTCCGGGTGGTAGAGGGGGGGAGCTTAAGCCAAACACTACGGTACCAAAAAGGTGACGGCGTGCACCCTACCACACGAGGACGTCTGTAGTTTGAGTCTTTGTGTCGAGTTGATGTGTGTAAGTTGATGTGGGCGGAGGAGGCGAGGAGGAGGCGGAAGAAGCGGGATGCAGCCGGAAAAAACAAGAACCCCACACAAAGAAAAAGTGATACCACCAAAACAAAACTTTTTCTGGGGGGGGCCGACCCCCTCCAAGATCCAGTGAACTAGGAAGACTACTATACTCACGAGCAGACAACGAGCACCTACCAACAACTACGAGGTCTCAGCCTCAACGTCTGACTGAACACCTTCAACATGCAAAGCCCTAAAACAAGCGGTTTCGAGAACACTGGAAAACGCACACCCGTATAACGTCCTTTTCTGAAGAAATAGGGGTCGACGGTCGACGGCATCCCGGCGCTAGCCCATTGTATCCAAAGGTGTGCCTGGAGAAGAAAGCACATCAACAAACTTGACAACATGTAAAGGGAGAGACGCAAAGACACATGCTATTGGGTCAAAGCAGCTTGGGCCAGAATTCTGGCTCCCGCAATGCCCGGCGGAACTTGGCTCGCGACAAAGAAACCGACAGGACATACGTCACTTGTGACTGAGCCTCAAAAGACGGTACAAAGGCACGAGCGGTAGTCATTCGCCTACCACGCACAGACTAAGGCAAGCAACGCCAACGATGCAAACTGGTCAAGAGGCATGGACCTCATCACCAGCTTGAGGGGAGTTGAAGGTAAAGAAATTGGAGCTGTGGTGGAAGAGGTTTCAAGGGAGTAAGCCTATGAAAAGAAAGAGTACGCAGGAACATCATTCAAGGAGGAGAGCAGAAATGATGTTGAAATGAACCGGCAGAATCAAAAAGGTCGCGGCGCCTGGTCTGATATTGATGGCGCCTGCCACAGGACTGCTAGTCGGAGGGCTGTTTAGGTTAAGTTGGCAAAACAACTTTTATTGAACAGCTGCGATATTTGCGTTGTAAGCTTTTCGACAAGAGCAACTCGCATGGAAAGCTCTGCCCCTCGCTCTTAGCACCTCTAACACCTATAGTACCCTTTCCGTAGAGCTCTTCGAACAATGATCACCCAAATACTCAGCTTCCAGTTGACTAACAAACACTTTGAATGTGTGGACGGTGTGGTGATCTGTGGCTTGTTGTACTTGGTCAGCGGGAACAGCCTTTGCGACCAGATCTGACTGTTGTGTGGAATTGCAGAATCTCTACTCCCCCTGTGCCAAGTGTTCTTACTCCGGTCAGCAATTACTTCATTCCAACTCATCTCATAGTGGTTTCTGCTGTCATTGTCAGGCGCAATACCGGTGCTACTGAGTTTTGTGAGGCAACATATGCCAACGTGAGAGCAGTGCCTAAAGCAAAGTCGCTCCCAGCAGGTGAAACGGCAAAAACATCACACCACAGTGGAAAATATCGAAAGTCTAAGCAATGGTCACGCAGGCATGGTTGGTATAGAAAGCCAACATAATGGATCAATTTTGCAAACAAATGTCAAAAATAACTCTCTAGCAATAGCAGCAAGTAGCACGCCAGTGTCGTTCAAAGCTGACAAACCTGCCACACAGCTAGGTTCCGGGAAACAGACCGGCAAGGATCGTGGTAGAAAACAGTCTTGCGCAGATAAGTAGCCTAGTCGATGAATCGCAAAGAACATCTACCAACCGCCCTGTCAGTCCAGCCTCGACGTGTCCGGCGAAGCACGTCAACGCAAATCCGCAAGCAGGGCCGGCCTGCTCGCCATATGGAGCTGAAAAACCTACGAGGTCGACGTACAAATGATGTGACGTCGTCTATCAGGATCACGTCGAATGCCAAATTTCCTGACACACCCATAGTTGCCAAACTCGCTTTACAACGTGCCGGATGCATCTCCAGGTGTGAGGACGAAGGCAATTTGTATTCTACAAACGTCCGTGATGCCATGAGACTTTAGCGACCTTGAGATTCAGAGCTGTTGAGTTGCTCTCTGACCCAGAGAGAAGCTGCACTTGCAAAATCACCAAAGAAACCAAGAAGCCTCTTTGCCAGAAGAAGAACAAGTGCTCAAATCTTGCCTACTGACATACTTGTGAAAGAGTCTGCGGCACGAGATCAACTTCCCTAAGCCGGCATCAATGGCAGTTCACAAGTGAGCGCTGGATCTTTCTTTGACAAGTCCTTGTCAATCTCTGGCTGATTCCGTGGGAGGGCCCTTCCTTTGGAGGGCGGAAAATCCCTGAAAGGCGTGATCCAAAATCCAAAAAATCATGTTTCTTGAGGAATCTCTTTGAGAGATCCTCGCAAGTTGTCATAAGGATTTCCGGCAAATGCACTGCTCGTGTACCGGATGGAGTACTCCACGTAGATTTGGTTGGCTTCATAAACAATCAGCTCATCATTTGTGTCCGATATGCAGCTTTGACAGCCATCAGGCGCCTTTCGGTTCTCAGGTTTGGCCAACTCTGCCTGCCACTCGCCTACAGGTCTGCCGCTCTTGGGGTCGCCTGGCACAAACGGGAAAATACGTTGCTTGATAGCCGACTTGCCAGCGGCCACGCAGCAAAGCAGCACGAGTCTGGCTTCAGACGGCCCTGGATGGTTTTCACGACCAGTGGCAAAGAAGTCTGGTAGGCGAAGATCTTGAGCGAAGTAGAACCCTGCACCATAGGCATTGAAGTTCATGTTGGCATAAGCCTTTGCAAAGCCTCTTTCTGCTACAAGATCATGGGCTGCACCTGGAGCATGGAGCAACTGCAGCTGCCTCTGACCGTGGACCTTGCGAAATTCAGTTCTAAAGTCTTTCAGCATCTCCAAGTTCTGATTCCGTTGAATCCTCTCGATGTGAAAGTCAGGGATCTCAGCACCACCATTCTCTCTCAAGGACGTCTCGATCCCAAGCCACTCGTCAGAGTGTCGAGCCACGTCAACAAACCCATCGTGGGTTTCACCTATCCAAGTTGGTGGGACGTCTCCTGTGAAGTTCTTGTCCCTGGAAATGCCTGTATAGAGTGGCGATGCAAGAGGGATGGCCTGGCCACAAGACCTCGACCCTGCAAGGTCAATTCCGACTAGGGAAAGCCCCACGCTAACTTGGTCTGAGCATAGTTGACGGGAAGACTTCTGAGTTGCTCCTTGGTAGCTGCACAGAAGTTATATCCGTGGAAGGCTGTGTGATGGCAGTTGTTCCTGCCGGTGTTGTAGAGACCCTTTCTCAGCAAATGGCGAATCAAGTCACGAGTGGTGATTGCATTGCCAAGGTGATCTCCCCATAGCTGCTTCCCATGAAGATCCCGCAGGTTATCGGCATTTTCGACATCCGACCACTCTGACACAAACAATCCGTTCTTTGCAGCTTGCTTGATTTCCTCCGTGGTCTCCCCGTACCTCTTAACCTGTTCGGGGAAGGCTCCTTCAATCAGAAACGACTTCTCGCCAGCTCGAATCTTCAACATTGAATGCACGGTTCCAAAACAAGAACCTACAACGCCGGGCAAAGGCAACATCCACCAGCTCACTTCAGTTACCATGTCTTTGCAATCCCAAGCTTTGGCAAATGCCGCGCCCGTGCCGCCTCTTGTCTCCAGCACTTTTGGTTTCAACTCTTCAGCCAGTTCTTTGTGTCCATGGGCAGCAGCAACATCGCTAGCGGTTTTTTTATGATAATTCCGCTGGGCCGGTGCGGCGAATCTGCCGTGAAGCACTGCGCGGCAAACCTCAAAGCTGCCATGTTTGGCAGCAATGTGCAACCAGGTGTCCCGACTAGGTGCGGATTGAATTGGAACTCTGAAAATAGCCGAGGAAGACTCCAAATCCAACTTCTTCTCTGCCAAGTTCTTTACCAGCTCTGAGGAGTGCTTTGCCAACTGAATGGAAGAAAGGCCGCCCAAAGCGTCACAAGCTGCACTGCGGACCCATGCATCAGGGTCTTCCAGCATCTTCAACAACTGCGAGGAGCACTCGGCCAACTCCTTTGAAGAAAGGTTGCCCAAAGCTCGACAAGCTGCTTGGCGGACATCTGCATCAGAGTCCTTCAGCTTCTTCACCAAATCAGCGGAATGTTTGACCAACTTATCCGGAGAAAGGCTGCCCAAAGCTTCACAAGCTGCACAGCGGACATTTGCATCAGCGTCCTCCAGCTTCTTCACCAAATCTACGGAATGTTTGACCAACTCATCCGGAGAAAGGCTGCCCAAAGCTCTGCAAGCTGCACAGCAGACATTCGCATCAGCGTCCTCCAGCTTCTTCACCAAATCTACGGAATGTTTGACCAACTCATCCGGAGAAAGGCTGCCCAAAGCGCTACAAGCTGCACAGCGGACATTTGCATCAGCGTGTTCCAGCTTCTTCACCAAATCTAAGGAATGTTTGACCAACTCATCCGGAGCAAGTTTGCCCAAAGCTCTACAAGCTGCACAGCGGACATTTGCATCAGCGTCCTCCAGCTTCTTCACCAAATCTACGGAATGTTTGACCAACTCATCCGGAGAAAGGCTGCCCAAAGCTCTACAAGCTGCACAGCGGACATTTGCATCAGCGTCCTTCAGCTTCTTCACCAAATCTACGGAACGTTTGACCAACTCATCCGGCAAAAGGCTGCCCAAAGCTCTACAAGCTGCACAGCGGACATTTGCATCAGCGTCCTCCAGCTTCTTCACCAAATCTATGGAACGTTTGACCAACTCATGCGGAGAAAGTTTGCCCAAAGCTTCACAAGCTGCACAGCGGACAATTGCATCAGCGTCCTCCAGCTTCTTCACCAAATCTACGGAATGTTTG